TCTTCCTACCCACTCACACGCGGCATATAAAATATAATTTTCAAGGTTAGATGAAAAAAATTATGTTGCAGGGACGCATAAACTTTGAAAAGTAATAAGATGCTACTGTACAAGGTCGAAAAAAGAATTTAGAAAAAACTTTCTTCTATTTTCTGTGATAATGGAGAAAGAAAATGATGGTGGCTCAAATAAAAAACTTCTCTCAAGAATTTCAAAAGGAAAAAAAAAAATAATAATAAATAAAAAATAAAAGGGGAAAAAACCCATCAGAGGTGTGATTTTCTTAGGTTTAGGAGCTGAACTTTATTCTTCTCAAAATAATGTTTTCTCGATAATTCTTAGAAAACCGTGAAAAAAAAACTCCTATGCAATAGTTTTTATATAATGGCTCTCCTTTCAGGGATTATAACTTTTAATTTACTTAAAAAAGTATTGAAAACTCATTTAATTTTTGAAAAAGAAATAAAATAGAGGATTTACTTGTATAGTTCAGCGTTATTTTTTTCTCTAAAACTAAACTTATTTTTTTTCTTTCTTTTAACTAAAAAAGAAAAGCGCTCGTTGAAACCCGAAAATAATTTTACGGAGTTCTAATAATCTTCAAAGTAATTTATATTGGAAAGCAGAGATATATTTTTTCACAATTAACGGGGTTACTGTTGTCAGTTGAACATCGGTTTATTATTTAACACAAATAACAATGATTTTCCGGTAAAATTACAAAATAATGCATAATCAATATTTGCAATAAAGTATAATTTACGCGAGTTTAAGATTTAAAAAAAATATGTATATAATTGTTCTTATTACACGAAAAAGAAAATTAATTTTCAATTCATACGTAAGCAGTTAGCTGAGTTATGAATTGCATAACGAAAGCTAGAATTATATTGCAAAGTTTTTTATTGATTGAGTGAGTGAATGTTAACGTCACACTATATTCAGTTATTTAAAGGACTTTTGGAGACAGACCTGGTTATTTTAAATCACAGTCAAGTGCCTAGAATGACACCAGAGCTGGCATTACCCTCTCCTAATTTCTACACCACACCAACGGGAGGACGTTTGACCCTCGGCGTATTTAATGAGCATAGGTCCCCTCTGTACGGTGGGTCTTTAGCGGTAATAGGCTCGAATTCATGACACGCTGGCCACGAACCCGTTACCTTGACCACTATCGTACCGTGGCGACAAGTTTATAATTGAAGGAAGACTTTCTTAGCAAATTAAACATAAATAAAGGTTAAAGCATTTAAAATGTTGCATCTTAACTTTAAGTGTCGCATAATGAACATCATTGTTGAAGCAAGGGGAAAAAATAGGTACAAACATTACAAATCTTATAAAGAAACTGTTTTTTAACAATTGTAATATCTTGTCCTGGAATGAAGTATTTTAGCTACTTCGTGTCATTTATTTTATTATTTATCTCTCTTTCAATTGGGACCTTCAAACAATGCTATTAAAATTATGTTTTAAAACAAGAGAATGAATTATTAATACCGAATTATGTGACAACTTTCTAATTTAATTTTAAATTTAAGATAAAAAACAGAACTTAAAAATTTTAAATAGAAATACGAGAGCTATTTTTTAAGTAAGGTCCGTTGGTGCGTACAGTTCCCTAGTTCGCACGTACGCCGCAATGGGTCTCTGCGTCACTGACCAGCATTCTTTGTGAACACACTCGCGCCTTTTCCAGCTCTGTAGCAGTCGTGTCAGCTTCACAGTGCGTCTTTAAAATGTTTAAGGTGATTGAATCATCCGCCAAGAGTAAGATACGGTCTCTTATCTGTTTTTTGACAGCGAGAAACATGTCGGCTGCAGACCTTCGTCGCCAGATAATAGAGGTGTATGGCACCGAAGCGATGAGTGACAGCAAAGTTCGAAAATGGGTGAGAAAGTTTAAAGATGGGCAAACAAACGTCCACGGTCAAGAACGCTCAGGCCGGCCCTCTATAATCATTGATGATTTGTTGCAAGCAATTGAAACAAAATTCGTGGAAGCAGGAGATTCAAGATAACCACTCTTTCCTTGGAATTTCTCGACGTTTCTCGGTAGGTGGTGTACAAAATTGTGACTGAAGATTTCACCTTGTGTTCACTTTGGGTACCCAGACTACTCGCAGTGGAACATAAAGAGAAGAGGTTTGCCATTTCATTGCATCTTTTGATTCGATGTGAGGAAGAAGGGGATGACATGTTGAGTCGAATTATTACTGGAGATGAAAAATGGGTAACTCATATCACCCCGGAATCCAAGCAACAGTCAATGGGATGACGACAAAAATCCTCTGCCGTCAAGGTCAAAGCCAAACAAACGCAGTCAAAGCGCAAGATTTTGGCAACAGTGTTTTGGGATCGGCGTGGTGTTTTGCAGTTTGACTTTATGCCACCA